ACAAAATTTTCAGGTACCCTATAACCCACATCCAGGCCAGAGGTATAGAGGGGAGCAAAAGTTGAAAGATAAGTTTAGACTAATAGGAGAGTCCTATGCAAGCTTGTTTGAGAAATTAAAGCATTATGACATGATTGCACTCATTCCTCCAAATCATGTGGACCCCCGTACAAGAAGCCTTGATCCTTATAAAAGGTGTGAATACCATTCCAATGCCTAGGGGCACAATGTTGAAAGCTATCAGGATTTGAAAAGAGAAATAGAAAGGATGATCCAGGAATACCTGATTGTGATCCAAGACAGTGGCATCCAGAATATCGCGTAGAATCTTTTACATGCACATCATGATGCACACTTTGTGGGGATGATGTGTGGTGACAAGGAGTATGATAATCCTCTCGGGAATTTGCTAACTGAAGTTAATGATTTTGAAATTGGAGAAGGCTCTGCTGATTCTAATGAGCAAATTTGTGGCTAAATGTCAAGCTTAGCAATTGAAAATTCATTCCCTCCGCACCATGAAGGAATCTTGGTAGTTGTTTTGATGTTTTATCTATTATTTGGGTTATTTTAGGGTTATGATCCAGATTTTATTTATTTTATTTAGTCAAACCCTTCTATCCCTCCATTCTGTTTGTGTGAGTCTTGTCTTTCTATTCTGTTGCTATTTTCATTAGCTGGGTTATTTAGGGTTGTAACTCGGATTTTTTAGGTTGTTTGTCTTGTTGTTTACTCAATGAAATACAGTTTGTCCTTTTGTGTCATTCCATGCTTAGTTCTTTTCCCGCTAGTTTTAATGACATGACTTGCATGCGAAATTTTTGGCCAGATCTTAGAAAATTGATTTAAGTTTGAATTGGACAACTGAGGAAAAGACATTTTTGAGGATTAATAAAGAGTTGAAATACTTTGGAACTAAGGTCGAGTAAAATTCACCTTCAAATAATTGTGAAGATCGGGCTTGAGGATGTTTAATCAATTGAAGTTTGTTGAAAAGTTTGTCACTAAGGGGTGAAAAAATATCTTGTGACCACGGCACACCCAGAAGACAGACATGTTCGTCAATGCTGTGATCGCGAAAAGATACCATGTTTGACGTTCTTGAGGTTGGGAGGCCCCTTTTTTTGCTACCCAAACATTTTATATCATTTGCTACCCCTTCTGAGCCTGTGTTATTTTTCTTTGACTACCCTCTTTTGGAATCAAGTTTAAAGTAAAAAAAATCCATGTCCCAAGAGTACAAACTGGGGCAATTCTTAGAAAGTTCAGGAAAAAAAAAAGAATTGTCAAAGGTCCATACCCTCAAAAATAGAAGCTGGGGCAAATAAAAAAAAGAAAAAAAGGAAAAAAAGAAAAAAAAGGAAAAGGAAAAGATAAACAGAAAGAAAGATGAAAAATAGTTTAGGTCAGATGTTTGAACTACGTTCGACCCGATCCCTTAAAAAATAAGGATACGTAGGCAGCCTCACAGTTCGGTCCAACCAAATAAGAATTTAGAAGAAAAATTGAAAAATCCAAAAATCCCCAGCATTTGAAACTGGGGCAAAGATTTTATTTCATTTTTGAAAGAGTCGATTCCAAGAGTTATAAGTCTACAACCCCTCATAATTGAGTTTATTTTGAGCCTTCATGCTGACCTTTCTTTCTAACTCTATCCAAAAACCTTCCAAATAAAGACCTCTCAATATGCCTTCAAGAATGCCAAGAAACGCATGCAATGAGCAACAGTTGTCACATGACGTAGAACATCGTCAAGTTGCTCACAAAAAGAGGGAAAGAAAAAGAAAAAGAAAAATGAGAGAGTCTTACTAGTGAAAACTCTCATGGGCACTGTAAGGCGACAGTAAGCAGAGATGAATAAATGAGAGAGACTTGTTGGTGAAAGTGAGTCGTGAAGCTGATGCGAAGAATTGGCATAAATAAGCCCGACTTCAAAGGTCATAAGAATGGTAAAAGGGAAGATTGGATTAGTTTGGTAGATCGGCCGTTAAGTCCAAAATGCATGTCATGATCATTAAGGCTAGTTATTGGGAAAAAAATTCTTCCTTCTGTCCTCCCGACAGGGGCATTTCTTGTTAGTACTTGTTTCTTTGCACCATTGTGTCCTCCACTCTGAGTTCGTCCTTGTCAAAACAAGCAAGAAAAGATTTCAAAACTGCTACCAGCTTTTCAGTTGCACACAGTGAATTTGGCCAGCACACTCAGTTGTTACTATCAACATGCCTTGAGGATTCATGCAAAGGCTCCCCCTAAAGACTTTTGACAGCCTACTTGGCGCAAGCAAAGATAACTGGTTATTCTCTCTGACAGACAAATTGCTCAAAAGCAGGAAGTCATTCAAGATATTGGAAAAGGTCACCTAAGCAAAGATCTCCAATTGGGATAAGGCTGTTTGAGCTACAAATGCAAATGGTACTGGGGTGAAACAATCAGAGTTGGTGCAGAACAAAAGTCTTTTGAGACCGACTCAAGCTGATTGAGTAGAAGCCAAGCTGCCCAAGACTCAAGGCCACAAACCGATCACCATTTTCAAAACTGACCAATTTTTCTTTGCGTGAAGCAGGAACAAAGTAGTGCTAGGAAAGTGGTTCAAAAAAAAAAGAAAAAAAAAAGAAAAGAAAAAAAAACAAAACAAGAGAAGGAAAAGAAAAGAAGAGAAGAGACTACAAAGGGAAGTTTCTCAAATCTTTGCCTTTGTTTGTCTTGCCATTGATCTTTACATTTTTTCTCCTAGGATAAACATCTTATTCTGATGAATCTTTCTCCTAAGATACAAAAAATAAATATCTTAGTCTGATGAACATTTCTCCTAAGATAAAAAAAAACTAGTCTGATGAACTTTCTCCTAGGATAAACATCTTAGTCTGATAAATCTTTCTTCTAAGATACAAAAACAAATCGTAATCTGATGAATTTTTCTCCTAAGATAGAAGACCTAGTCTGATGAACTTTCTCCTAGGATAAAAATCTTAGTCTGATGAGTCTTTCTCCTAAGATATCAAATTAGAAGACCAAGTCTGATGACTTTTCTCCTAGGATCAAATACTTAGTCTGATGAATTTTTCTCCTAAGATAGAAGACCTAGTCTGATGAACTTTCTCCTAGGATAGATGTCTTAGTCTGATAAATTTTTCTCCTAAGATAGAAAACCTAGTCTGATGAATTTTCTCCTAGGATCAAAATCTTAGTCCGATGAATCTTTCTCCTAAGATAACAAAAAAATGACCTAGTCTGACGAATTTTCTCCTAAGATATTTTGAAAAAAAAGAAGAGCAAGTCAGGATTTTCTAAAAAAAAAAAAGAAAAAAAAAGGGTCAATTTTTAGATTTCTTAAGTTATCAATCTTTAGTTTTCTCAAAATCAGGGGTCCCGCCTTGGAGAATATGGTTAGTTTTTATTTTAGTCAAGTATAGTTTATAGTTTTCCGCAAGTTCAATCTTAAATCTAAGAGACGCACTTCCTAGTTTGGTTCATTCAGGTTTTATTTTTAGCAGACGCATTGGCTAGTCAAAGTTTTTTGGTTTTACTCATAGGAGACACACATCCTAGTCTAGTCTTTAGTTTACTCTCATCATTGCATCAATAGTATAAGTGGCTTACAATATTGCTGACAACCCACAAATCTTGCTAGTACAAACTGGGGCAATAAATTTCGTTTGCTTTGTTTGTTTTGATCAGGCGCCCACCTGGAGAACAAGGGAATACAGTTCAAGTTTCAAGGGAAGACAATTCAAGTTCAGCAATCAGGCGTCCACCTGGAGAACAAGGGAAGATATTTCAAGTTTCAAGGGAAAGTATTTTCGAAGTAAGACAGTTCAAGTTTTGGCAATCAGGCACCAACCTAGAAAACAAGGGAATTCACTTCAGAATGCAATTCAAGTCAGCCACAAAAGAAGATCGCAGCAAGAATGCGAGTTAACAGTCCAAGATGATCAACGGAAGTTAGCCACAATCCAGAATAAATAAAAAAAAGCAAGAAGTGAATCCAAATGCAGAAGTTGATGAAAGATGTGAGCTGCTCAAGACATGGCTGAGGTCAAAAGCACTGCATGTCCGGTCTTGATCCGAAGGAGCCGTGGAAGATTGAACTAACACCCGCAGCTAACAAGTATCAAGATTCAGATCAGAGTCCACATGAAGAACCAACCAAGATTCAAGATCAAGCTTCAGAAGACTCGTAGATAGGAATCTTGTAACTTGTAGCTTGTAGGCTTAGTTAGACTTTTCAATTTTGATTTTTGATGTAATAATAGGACCGCAGACCGGAACCTTGACGGTACCTCAATCGGCTCTCCACCACGGTATACTCCATCACCTCATTCACTTCTGAACTACACGTGGCATGATTCCTTTATAGCCAAAGATATGTAGGCAGCTCAGATACCAGGGCTCGGTCACATCCTCTTTTCTTTTAAGTGTTTGGTCTTTCTAAATAAGGGTCGGGTCAAAACACCTGTCTTGTCATTTTTTGTCTGAAAACTCTTCATATTTCCAGTCAAAGAGGGGCAGCTGTAGACATGTAATTTTTGACCCTCCCCGAAATTTTACACATCTTAGTGCTTATATATTTGTTTTTGGTCTACTTTGCTACTTCTGCTAGTTCTGACTTCTTTTTGCTTTATTTTATCTTTAAAAAAACTACAAAAATACTCTTGCTTTATTCTAGCTAGTTCATATTTTGTCTAATTAGTTTTACTCTTGAAAAATACAAAAAAATAGCATTGTCACTTTTATTTATAGAAGGTAAGAAGAAATTTAAATATGTATTGAGTAGTATTATAATTTCTTTGATTTGGTTATTTGTTCTGTTTTTAGTTATTTCCTTTTATCTAGATAATTAGTATTTTTGGTTTAACTTTAGAAAAAAAGAAGAAGGAAAAATTAACAAAAAAAGAAGAAGAGAAAAAACGGAAAACAAAACAAACAAACGAAGAAGGAAGAACGTGATAATGAAAGCAAAGGCAAAAGTTGGAAAGCAAAATCCAAACCTTTTTCCCTTTTTTCCACCTTGTCACCTACGCTTTCCTCTTAATAAATTTGTGATTATTTCTTTACCAATAGAGTATTGCTACCTCACCTTCCTATAACAAACTTTATCAACAAAGATTCCTCACAATGCCCACACTCCCTGCCTACACTACATCACACACCCTTTCTTGGAAATATCCATACACTTTGATGCAAAAAATATAAATACACACACTCAGATAGAGAATAGAGGGGTACAGAAGAGAACGGGGAGGGGGAACAAAAAAAGAAAACACAGAGGACAAAAGAAACAGGGGCGAGAGAATTGGAGGAGGGCCTTCTTCACGTTTTCCTCTGAAAATGCTCCTCTATTTCTCGGTGTTAGAAAACCTTCAAATACCATGAAGGCTGCTGGTGATTTTCTCAAAACAACTGACCTCCAATTCCATAAAAATAACTGACCCCCAATTCAAAAAAAAAAAGCAGCCATAGCTCCTCCACTTTTCCTCTATTGAAACCAACCTCATTCTTCCACCAGAACACAAAAATCCATCTCTTACAACACCAACAAAATAGTCCGAAATGATCGGAAACAGCAGCTCAAATCGATGTCATCTTCGTCGAGAAAACAATCCCATAATCACTATAAAATATATTTGAAACCAGCCCCTTTTTGGCCCATAAAACTAGTCCAATACAACCCCAAAATAGCTTCGAAATAGTCGTTAGTCACTCCAAAGTCGAGGTTTTGTCGCCGGTTCAAAGTTCTGATCAGTAGCTCGTTTGATCGTCGTTTTGTTCCTTTTGGTGCACACTCCTTTGTATACATAGCAAATTCAGCAATAAAGATTTTGACATTTCAATTGAGTTTTTCACACTTTCACTTGGCTTTTGCTTTTTCCATCTTCATCGGCTTGCTCTAACCTCAAATATTATCAAGAATATGTTCACCATGTGTCATGGCGGAGATGAAAAATAACAAAAGAAGCTGGAAATAAAGAAAATGAACGATAAATATCACTTCTAAAAGGTTAATTTCACCACTTTTCTTCAGGTAAGAAACTCTCCCTTCCTTGAAGTAATTACGCATATTCTTTTCTCTTTTTTCTTTCTTTATTTGTGTGTGCATGTTGTGCATTTATTTGAAATAGGTACAACTGATTTTCTTTCTCGAATTATTTTTAATATATTAAAGAGCAGATGCTTAAGTGTCAGTTACAGCTAAGATTATTCTTGCGGTCGCGTCACTTTTCTAGCATTAAAAAGGTTTGATTCTCTGTAATTAGTTGCTTTTAGGTGCATATTAATAAAATAATTATCGTGACTATGGGTACGGCTCCCGTGGCATGGTCAAGATACACGATTTAAAATTTGGGGGTGCATTTCATGTGACCCGATTCTAACTTCCAACAAGGTTAAATAAAGCGTGTCGTGAACCGCGGGTGCATTTCATGTAGCGTGGCTTACGATGTGTTTTAAATTACCTTGAAATTTCCTGAAATATTAAAAACGGCTAAAAAGTTAAAAGGGCACGTAGGTTTAAAATGCGTAATTAAATTAGATAATTGAGCCAATAATAATAGTTGAGTGACCGTTCTAGAACCACGGAACCCGGGAATGCCTAACACCTTCTCCCGGATTAACAGAATTCCTTACCCGGATTTCTGTGTTCGCGGACTGTAAAATAGAGTCAATCTTTTCCTCAATTCGTGATTTGAACCGGTGACTTGGGACGCCATAAATTTCCCAAGTGGCGAATCTGAATTTAAAATAGGTAATCCCGTTTCGATTGTCACTTAAATTAAAAAAATTCCCTTATATCCCTTCTCGGGGTGTAGTAAAGAAGGAGGTGTGACAACTGAGGAAGAGGCTGAGGAGTTCCTGAAAAAGATGAAAGTGCAGGATTATTCCATTGTGGAGCAGTTAAGGAAAATACTAGCTCAGATTTCTCTTTTGTCTTTGCTGATACATTCAAATGAACATCGCAGGGTCTTGATGAAGATTTTGAATGAGGCACATGTTCCTGATAAGATCACAGTAAATCACTTGGATAAGATAGCTAGCAAGATCTTCGAAGTAAACAGGATCACTTTCTCAGACGATGAACTTCCTATGGAGGGTACAGAAACAATCGAGCTCTTTATCTCACGGTGAAGTGCGAAGATTCTGTTGTCTCAAGAGTTTTGGTTGACAATGGCTCTAGTGCGAATATTTGTCCCCTGTCTATTCTGCAAAAACTGAAGATTGGCACCGAAAGAATCCACTTGAATAGTATGTGTGTTCGAGGCTTTGATGGGGAGGTAAAGATTCTGTAGGAGATATAATGCTCTAATTGTTGATAGGGCCAGTTGAGTTTACCATGGAATTCCAAGTGTTAGATGTGGCTGTCTCCTACAATCTGTTGTTAGGCAGGCCCTGGATACATGCTGCTAAGGCAGTCCCGTCTTCTCTGCACCAAATGGTGAAGTTTAAATTGGATAGGCAGGAAATAGTTGTGCACGGTGATAAGGACCTGTCAGCTCGTAATGACACAATTGTTCCATTTATCGAAGATGAAGATAATAAGGGACCTTGGGTCTATCAGACTTTCGAAACAGTGTCTATTGAGAAAATTCCTGAAGGAAAATGCATTCCGGGTCCTAAGCTATCTTCCGCGTCCGTCATGGTTGCGAATGAAATGTTGAAGAATGGTTTTATGTCGGGCAAGGGTCTAGGCTCATCTCTGCAGGGTATTGTGCATCTGGTGCGCCCCAGTGGGAATCCTGGTACATTAGGTTTGGGATTCATACACACAGAGAAGGACATGAAAAAAGTTAAAAATCTGAAACAGAAAGTATGGTCGCTCCCCAAGCCCGTCCTACGCATCTCTAAGTCTTTTGTCAAGACAGGGGCAAAAAAACCTCCAACCTCATCAATCCCAAAACATGTGGTCGATGTTGATGAATAGCTGATTAAGAGGTTCCAAAGTCTGTTCGATGAGGTCAATATGGTAGAAGTTGGTGAAGGCTCTAGTAAAGCAGATGTGCAGCTCGTTGGACCAAACGTGAAGCTTAGCAATTGGGAAACTACTCATCTCCCCACCAGGAAGGAGTTTTGGTAGTTTGCTTTGTTTTCCTTTCTATTATTTGGGTTATTCTAGGGTTGTAATTCAGATTTTTAGTTTTTGCTTGTTTTGATGTTCAAACCCTTCTATTCCTTTATTTTCAATGAAATCAATTTCTCGTTTTCCATTATTCCTAATAGTGTTCTATTTTGTTCTTTTTTCTTTCCTATAGTTCTTTTTATGCTGGTTGCAATGATATGACATGCATGAAGAATGTTCAATCAAGTCTTAAAAGCCAATCTAATTCTGAAATAATAATCCAAGAAGTAGAATATGATAAAGAAGCAGCATTTGAGGAAATCAGTAAAGAGCTAAAACAATTTGAAGAAAAACCAAAGCGTAATTTGAGTGAAACTGAAGCAATCAATTTAGGGGACCAGGATGATGTTAAGGAAACCAAGATAAGTGTGCATTTAGAACCGCAAGTTAAGGATGAAATAATCAAAACATTGTTTGAGTACAAAGATGTCTTTGCATGGTCATATGATGATATGTCGGGCCTGAGCACTGATCTGGTAGTTCATAAATTTCCAACTAATCCAACATTCCCTCCTGTTAAGCAAAAGTTGCAAAAGTTCAAGACTGATATGAGTGTGAAGATCAAAGAAGAAATCATAAAGCAGCTTACTGCAAAGGTCATTCGGGTCACTCGATATCCCACTTGGTTAGCCAATGTTGTGCCAGTACCAAAGAAAGATGGTAAGACCAGGGTATGTGTTGATTACCGTGATCTAATCAAAGCAAGCCCAAAGGATGATTTTCCGTTGCCAAACATTCACATTCTGATCAATAATTGTGTCAAGCATGAGATTGGGTCTTTTGTAGATTGTTCCGCGGGATATTACCAGATCTTGATGGATGAGGAAGATGCAGAAAAGACAGCGTTCATCACGCCATGGGGGACATATTGCTACTGGGTAATGTCATTTGGTCTAAAGAATGCTGGGGCAACATATATGAGGGTGATGACCACCATATTTCACGACATGATACATAAGGAGATTGAGGTTTATGTAGATTATGTGATCATAAAGTCAGAGAAGCAGTTTGACTATGTCAGGGACTTGAGGAAGTTTTTCCAAAGGCTCCGCAGGTACAACCTCAAGCTCAATCCGGCAAAATGTGCATTTGGTGTCCCCTCTGGGAAACTGCTGGGATTCGTGGTCAGTAGACGCAGTATTGAGTTGGATCCGTCTAATATCAAAGCCATTCAAGAGTACCACCGCCAAAGAATAAAATAGAGGTGATGAGCCTACTTGGAAGGTTAAATTACATCAGCAGGTTTATTGCTCAACTCACGACAACCTGTGAGCCCATCTTTAATCTGCGGAAGAAGAATGTTGTAGTCAAGTGGACTGTTGAGTGTCGAGAAGCATTTGATAAGATCAAGAGGTACTTGTCGAATCCACTTGTGCTGGTCCCACCAGAGCTTGAAAGACCTTTAATTCTCTATTTGACAGTCTGGGATAATTCTTTTGGCTGTGTATTGGGTCAACATGATGTCACGGGAAAGAAGGAGGAAGCAATTTATTATCTCAGTAAGAAGTACACTCCCTATGAGGTTAAGTACACTCTGCTTGAGAGGACATGTTGCGCCCTGACTTGGGTGGCGCAAAAGTTGAAGCATTATCTGTCGTCCTACACTACTTACATCATTTCTCGCATGGATCCTCTAAGGTATATCTTTCAAAAGCCTATGCCCACGGGAAGACTTGCAAAGTGGCAGACTTTACTTACAGAGTTTGACATCATCTATGTGAGTCGGACCGCGATGAAAGCCCAAGCCTTGGCTGACCACTTGGCCGAGAATTCGGTGGATGATGAATATGAGCCACTGAAGACTTATTTTCCTGATGAAGAGGTTATGTGTGTTGACGAGGATGACCACGATGAAAAGCCAGGTTGGAAACTCTTCTTTGATGGAGCTGCTAACATGAAATGTGTCGGAATAGGGGCTGTACTTATCTCTGAAACAGGGCAACACTACCCTGTAACAGCCCAGCTTCGATTTTATTGCACCAACAACATGGTTGAGTACGAAGCATGCATTCTAGGTTTGAGGTTAGCTATAAACATGGGAGTCCAGGAAATACTTGTTCTGGGAGATTCAGATTTGTTGGTTCACCAGATTCAAGGAGAATGGGAGACTCGAGATTTGAAGCTTATACCGTACCGACAGTGCCTGCATGATCTTTGTCAATGATTCAGGTCGGTTAAATTTAGACATATTCCTAGGATTCATAATGAGATTGTTGATGCCTTGGCTACTCTGGCGTCAATGTTACATCATCCGGACAAGGCTTATGTCGACCCCGTGCATATATAAGTTCATGATCAACATGATTATTGTAATATGGTGGAAGATGAAATTGATGGCGAACCTTGGTTCCACGATATCAAGGAATACATCAGGTCGGGGGTATATCCAGTACATGCCACAAGTGACCAAAAGAGAACCATTCGACGTCTGGCTAGTGGATTTTTCTTGAGTGGAGGAATCTTGTACAAGAGGACTCCGAATTTAGGACTGCTGAGGTGCATAGATGCTAAAGAAGCTTCAACTATCATGGTCGAAGTGCATTCTGGAGTTTGTGGTTCGCATATGAATGGGTATATCTTGGCAAAGAAGATACTTGGAGCAGGTTGTTATTGGCTCACCATGGAATGGGATTGTATATGTTTTGGTCGCAAGTGTCATCAATGCCAGGTACATGGTGATTTGATTCATTCTCCCCCATCTGAGTTACACACAATGTCTGCACCTTGGCCTTTTGTTACTTGGGGCATGAATGTTATTGGACCAATTGAGCCGGCAGCGTCAAACGGGCATAGGTTTATTCTGGTGGCCATTGATTACTTTACCAAGTGGGTCGAAGCTACAACTTTCAAGTCCGTGACCAAGAAGGCAGTGGTGGATTTTGTTCATTCAAATATCATTTGTCGATTCGAAATTCCCAAGGCAATCATCACAGACAATGCTGCTAATCTCAACAGTCATTTGATGAAAGAGGTATGCCAACAGTTCAAGATCATGCATCAGAACTCCACTCCGTATCGCCCCAAGGCAAATGGAGCTGTTGAGGCTGCTAACATGAACATAAAGAAGATGTTTCGTAAGATGGTGCAAGGTTCTAGGCAATGGCATGAAAAGTTGTCTTTTGCCTTACTAGGTTATCGCACTATTGTCCGCACTTCAGTAGGTGCAACTCCTTATTCACTGGTATATGGAACTGAGGCAGTTATACCTGCAGAAGTTGAGATTCCATACTTTCGGATCATTGCAGAAGCCGAAATTGATGATGATGAGTGGGTCAAAACCCGGCTTGAGCAATTGAGTTTGATTGATGAGAAAAGATTGGTTGCAGTATGTTATGGTCAATTGTATCAGAAAAGAATGGCAAGAGCATAAAACAAAAAGGTGCGCCCTTGGAAATTCGAAGTGGGCCAGATGATATTGAAATGCATCCTCTCTCATCAGGCTGAAGCTAAAGGCAAGTTCGCCCCGAACTGGCAGGGGCCGTTCATAGTGACAAGAGTGTTGCCCAGTGGTGCTTTGTATTTAACGGACATAGAAGGCAAATGTGTAGATATGGCTATCAATTCCGATGTAGTTAAGAGGTACTATGTATGATTTCTTTGCTTACCTTCAGTTGTATTTTGTACTTGGCATGTTCAAATTTTGAAATGATGAAGCCACTTTGTTCCACTACCCAAACACTTTCATCCCTTGCCACCCTTTTTGAGCCTTATTTATTTTCTTTTATATCCCTCTTTTGGAATCAATAGTAGAAGTAGAGAATGAAAAAAATGATGATGAATGAGTGAAAATAAGAAAAATGAAAAGAAGGAAAAAGAAAAGAAAAAAAAGAGAAGAAAAAGAAGAAAAAAAAAGAAAGAAGAAGAAGAAAGAAGAAAAAGAAAAGGAAGAAAAGAGAAGAAAAGAAAAGCAACAAAAACAAACAACTTTCTTTTGAAGTACGTTCGACCTGATTCATTTTAAGGATACGTAGGCAGCCTCACTGTTCGGTCCCATCAAAATAAAAATAAAAATTCCCCAGACCCAAAGAAACTGGGGCAGAAGTTTTGGTTTTGAAAAGATCTGATTCCAAAAGTTGTAATTTTGACCCCTATTATTTTAAGTTAGTTTGAGCCTTCATGCCACCCTTTCCTTCTAACCATATCCAAAAGCCTGCATTACGGTCCAAAGAAAGACCTTCTGATCAATCTTTGAGGATGCCAGATCAAACGAGATAGAGGTATGATTTACATCATGGGTAATACTTTATTCATGGGCTCAAGAGAGAAAATTTAAAATGAGAGAGTCTTATTGGTGAAAACCCTCACGGGCACCGTAAGGCGATGGTGAGCTGAGAGAAAATTTAAAATGAGAGAGTTTTATTGGTAAAAACCCTCGCGGGCACCGTAAGGCAATGGTGAGTTGAGAGATGAACAAATGAGAGAGGCTTGTTGGTGAAAACGGGCACTACAAGTTGAATGAGGCTCATAACTTTACAGAGAAATTGAATCAGTGAAAGCCCGATTTTGAAGTATGAAGACAGGACATGAACTGAAAATATGATTGGTTGGACGGATTAGGCTGATCAATCCGAAATGCAAGTCATGATTATTGGAGCTGGCTGCTTCCCTCAGATAAGTCTTCTTTTTCTCATTCTTCTTCATATAGTCATCTGTGTTAAAAAATTTCCTTTGTTCCTGTTGTCAAAAATTATTTCACTTTGCTCTTTGAGTATATCTTTATGGGTCTCTTTTGAGTTACCCCTTGTTGAACAAGCAGGAAAGGATTTTAAAGCCTACTACCAGCTTCTAAATTGCGCAAAGCGGAGTCCGGACAGGCACATCATAATTTACTTGATTTAGAATAAGCAGTATGGTGATAACTGAGGTTCAGGCAATTAAGTGAATCTTGAATTTGAGAAAATGCAAGGATTCAGCAACTTTCAAATGAAAACACAATGCAACAAGTGAGTGTGAGAGATTCAGGTCATGCAGAGGTTTTGTGGTCCAGTTCCAATCAAAAGGTCAAACAACTCCTTGTTAGCCCGAAGCAGCTAATCAGAATGAAGCATGGCAGTGGCAGAAGCAGACACTCAGCAATGATGCCACAAACTA